CGCGGGGCCTCGCCCCCGCCGCTATCAGCGGGGAGTGGCCCCGGGGTGCCCGGTTTCCCGGGGAAAGGCCGGGCAAACCCACGGGGCGCAGCAGGGTGAGTCAGCGGGGGCAGACGGGGCTGGCAGGGCTGGGCTGCCCACAGGTACGGCCGTGACCCCCTACCCAGGAACTGCACCCCTCTCGGGAGCAGGGGCAGCTCTGCCCGCCTGTGGGGGTATGGGTCCAGGTGTGCTGGGGGGGCAGAGCCCTCATCATCCCCATCCCTGCTCCCCACAGCTCTGCCAGTGCCCGTGGCCCCCCTGTTCTTGAGGTCCCCTGTCCCCATGCAGGCTGGGAGCTGGTCCGTGCCCCCCTGCCCATGCAATACCTGCCCTCGATGACCGTGATGATGTCGTTCATCTGGATGTGCAGCTTGTCAGGCTCCTCAAAGTCCTGCAGTGCCCTCATGTCAGTGGGCTGAGCCTGGGGAGGACAGAGGGGGTGAGGACAGGGGACCCAGTCCCCCATCATGTCCATCCCCTCTAGCTTCAGGGACAGGGCTAGCCCCACGCAGGTCAGAGGAGCCCCCAAAACGGGCAGGAGACAGTACCACCACTCCCAGCCCCTCCCCAGCCGCAGCATCCCTGGGGTGGGCAAGGGCACCAGCAGCACCCAGATGCTCCACAGGAGCAAGGTGGCTCCCAGGGGTCCTTCTGGTGTGGCCATGTCACCACCCACCACCTCCCAGCTGGCAGAGCTGCCTGGCCCAAGCCCTCCAATGTTACTTCCCGCCTCGGCAACATCCTTAACTCTGCCCACACTCGGGCAGAGCTGATGGGATGGGGGCACAGGGGACCTCCCTGTCCCCCTCCCCACCCGCTCACCCACCTCCACCAAGAAGTCCCGCAGGGCCACAAAGGTAGGTCGGTCCTCAGGCTTGTGCGCCCAGCACTGCAGCATGACGTTGTAGACATCCTGGGGACAGTCCTCGGGCCGTGGCAGCCGCTCACCTTCCTTGTCTATCTTGTGCAGGATCTGTGGGACAGGCGGTGCTGTCAGCGGATTCCAGGGCCCCCCTCCTGGTGCTGCTGGGGCGAGTCGGGGGGGCAGGTCCCTGCCGTGCACCCACCTGGCTGCCATTGAGGCCGATCCAGGGCTCCTGCCCATAGGTGAACATCTCCCAGAGGGTCACCCCGAACATCCAGGTGTCACTGGCATGGGAGAAGGTGCGTGTCTTCAGGCTCTCGGGAGCACACCTGCACAGGCAAGGTTGTGAGCATCAGGAGGTCATGCGTGCTGCAACCCCAGGTTCCCCCCCTCCCTGGGGCTCACCAGGCGAAGGGGACCTTGCGATGCTCCTGCATCACATAGTGGTCATCATTTTTGGGCAGGGCCCGCATCAGCCCAAAGTCCCCAATCTTGACCAGCTCATTGGAGGCCAGCAGGATGTTGCGGGCGGCAAGGTCACGATGGATGAAGCGCTTGGACTCCAGGTAGGCCATGCCCTTGGCCACCTGGATGGCGTACTGGCAGAGGGTGGAGATGAGGAAATGGCCCTGGTTCTTCCGCAGGCGGTCCAGGAGGGAGCCCAGGGGGGCCAGCTCTGTCACCTGGGCCATGGGGAGGGGACAGCAGGTCAGTCAGGCCAGAAGCACCCTGGTTGGGCTGGTTTCTGGCCTTCTTGTGCCCCCCTTGGGATGCCAGCGGAGGACTCAGAGTACAGACCCAGCCTGGCTTTGCTTGCCCCATCACGTGGGACACCCACAGGGCATTGGGATCAGCCCTGTCCCCCCACACTCACCATCTTCATGGGGTGGGACAGCACCACGCCATAGAGGCGGATGAGGTTCCTGTGGTCCAGGGAGTGCATGGCGTTCACCTCCCGAATGAAGTCATCCAGTGCCTCCGGCTGGCTCAGCACGTCTGTCTTGAGGCACTTCACTGCCACATTCAGCTACGGCCAAAGCAGGGATGAGCCCTGAAGCATCTTCCCCCCTGCCCAGGGTGGTCCCGTGCCCCACTCCCCCCCGACTCCCTCACCGTCTTGCCAGCAGGTGTGCACCACTCGCCGCGACGCACGACGCCAAAGGAGCCATCGCCCAGCTTCTCGAAGAGTGAGAGGTCCCGCTCCCGCACGAGGCAGGTGAGGGAGTGCTGGCCCCCGGCTTCGGGGGGTGGCGGCGGGGGGGGCTTGCGGAAGGTGCTCTGGGGCTGGGGTGGCAGCTCCGATTCAGGACGCTTCCCGCTGAACACCTGTGGGACATGGAGGCAGATGAGACACGGGTGCAGAGACACCCCAGGTCCTCGGGTCTGCAAGTGAACAGTGTCAGGAGGACCCTCTGCCTGGGCTGTACGCTCTGGAACCTAATGATGACCCTCCAGCTGCCTGCACGCTGAGCTGCAATTCATGGGGAGGGAAGGGGTTGTGCCTCTCACAGCAGCCCCACAGCAGCTCCCCAACAGACCTGGCAAACCAGGCCGGTAGCCAGAGGGCCCTGGGCACTCCTTAGCCAGGCTGCGGCCATGCGATGCACCTGGGCATGAAGCCGAGAGAAACCTCCAGCTTGGGCTGAGTGTGGTGACACATCCCTGCAGCAACGTGGGCCTTGCAATATGCGCTGCTGCCACCGCCAGTCCAGAGGGGATGTGGACGGGCTTTCCCTCCTTCTCCCCCAGCTGGGACCGACGATGTGCCTGGACCATGATGTGCCCCACAGGGCAGGGTCCTGTCCCAGCCTCGCAGCCAGGACCCATGTGGGGTGCGCGGGGGCTGGGCCCGGTATGTGGCCGGGGTGGGAGGTGGCATTTCTGTGCCTGGTGCGAGGCTGAGTAGCCTTCTATTAAAAGCCTGTCCTGGCCCAGATGAGTCATGCAGAGGAGAGGCCATGACCCAGCGCCCAGCTGGCAAACGCCTTGCTCTTTTGGGGGTGCCAGGGGGTGCCAGGGTGGCAGCAGCACCAGCTTTGGACGGGATGGCATCAGGGGCATACATGAGCATCCCAAGGTCCCCTGTCCCGGTGTGCCCCCAGCCTGCAGGCACAAGGGACTGGCGGCGGGGGGAGAGCCGGGCACTGGGGAAGAGCATGGGGAGAGGTCCAGCTCCTCCCGGCTGCCTCAGTTTCCCTGCCACACCTGTCCCTCTCCCATTCCCTACCTTGCTCATCCAGGATTTCCGCTTGCACATGGCTTTCCTCCGCTTCACCGCCTCCCACAGCCGCCGCTGACCTGCAGGACACAGGGACCATCACCAACCCAGCAGGGGTTGAGGACTTCTCCAACCCCATGCACCACATGCTCCTCTGAGCTCCCCAAAAGATGCTGCACAGCCAGCTGGGGGCACGGGGAGGGTTTGGGGGGGATGTACACACCAGGGCGTCCCATGCCGATCTTCTCCAGATCTTCATTTTTGACGTACTCGAAGTGGGAGAGGCGAGTGACGTTGAGCTCGTCCCGGATGCGCAGGAAGTACTGCTGCAGCTGCAGTTCGGTGAGCAGCTCCAGCAGCCAGTCCGTGCCCTCCTCTGCCTGCATGCTACAGCTCAGCCTCTGCCAGGACACCGCGCCAGGTTAGAGGGACCCTGCCCCGCTCCCCTCTGCCCCGTCCCCCCTGAGAAAATCACCCAGAGGGGTTGAGAGCCAAAGCTGGAGTGCTGCCTGGGTAGGCTGCAAGGGATGCTAGCAGGTTTCATCTCCCAAGCCCATCTCCAGCTCTCCAGTGGGATCGGGAGAGGCACCCCATCAGCAGAACCCCCAGGGATGGGCAGGGACCCCCTGCTCTGCCCCATCTTGGCCATAGAAACACCAGAAAGTCCCCCCCACTCCAGCACAGGCTGTCCCCAAGCAGCAATGCCAGGGACACAGGAGGGAGCAGAGCCTCAAAGCATGGGACAAGAGGTGCCTGGCAGCAGCCCCCAGCCACGGGGCACCCCACAGCCTGGCACTGCGCCTGCACGGGGGCCAGCCCACGCCTGGTGCCGTGCCTGCCAGGCTTCCTTCACCCAGCTGGAGGGGCTGACTGGGGAAGGGACAGCTGTCCCCAGCAGGGAAAGCCACCTCAACACTGCCTCTCGGCCGCCCCCGCATCCCCACACAGCTGGCGGGGCTGGGGCACACACCCCACCGCAGGTCTCCTCTGCCACCAGTGGTGGCACCTCACTGGGCAGCCACAGGGAAGGGGCAATCAGGGACATCAGGGCCTCTGGGGGGTCCTGTGCCCCGGGGCTGAGGCACAGGGCAACCCATCACTGCCAGTATCACCCCCCTAGCTGTGCCAGGGCATGGGGCCAGGTTTCACCCACAGTCCTCCATGCCCCCCCAAACACATCCCCGACGCTCCCCATCCCTGCCTGCTGTCCTGGCTCTCCCCCAGCTTTCATCGCCACCTTTCTGAGAAGGGTTGTGGCTCTGCCTCCCGTTGCCAAGAGCCAGAGGGGAGGTGGGACCCCTCGCCCTGGTCCCACAGCGCAGCAGCCCCCTCCATCCTCTCCTTCACCCCCCAG